CCCCTATTTTTAGGGATCATCTTCAAAAAATTGGATTTTCATTTCTTTATAAGCTATATTTTGATTCGAATGTTTTCTTGTGTAAATTTCAAAGTGCATACTGTTTATTCCTTATTATCTGTTCAAGATGCCTTCAGGCAATCTTTGATGAGCCGAATTCTGATTTAAGTATCCCTAGGATAAATATAAAATTGTTGGTTCTAGTTTTAATACTTTTTTATAATTGTCTACAACTTCGATGTTTTAAACAAAAATGTTTATCTTACCAGAGGATTCATGGAAGTGAAGCTCTTCGTAACGGTGTGAAGAGTATAATTAACCTTCTCGCCGGTCCAGAAGATCCCGATCCAAGTTCTGAATCGGATGCCCCTGCTCAGCAACCTCTTCCAATTCCCTCTCTTCCTAGTCCAATTCCATTCTCAGACCTCTATTCGCTCAACATTCCTATTGATCGTCCAGTCAACGACTCAACTAGTCTAACTGCCGCTCGCCTTGAATTGGGAAAAAATTTCACCTCCGCACTGTTGAAACCTCCATCTGAAGTGGTTTCTAACCCATCTTCATCACCGGTGAATACTATAAATCTGATCGAATTGGTAGAGTACTTCTGTCCAGGAGTGGATTTACAGGCTGAAGTGGCTGCTATGGCGACAGCTAAACGGCGAAAAAGACGAGATGTCGACGATGCGGAGGCGAATATTCAACATAAAAGAAGGAAGAAGGGCCAAGTGGCCAATATAATTCAGACTGGCAGGTCGTCGAAGAAATATGGTGGGTCTGATTCTGCTGAAGAATCTGGGAACTTATTGAAGAAGTTTACTTAGTTTTATAATCTTTGTTCTGCGCAGTTGCTCCGATGCGCGGTCGTGGTTTCAACTTACGTCCAGGTAATCAATCTTCTGGCACTGGGCTCGGTGTTGGACTTTCTACCATTACCCCAGGGCCCAGTTTATTGGGAGTGGCTGGCGGAGCTGGTGGTCGCACGGACAATTTTCGTTCTCGTCCGCAGAACACCAGTCGGCCACCCAGTCTACATGTAGATGACTTTACGAAACTCGAAAAGGATGTTTCCAGTGAAGCTGATCCAAGTGCTAGTCGTGAGGTGAGTAAATTAATACTACTGAATATCGTTTTAGTAGCAGTTATGAATAATTTTATATTTGATTAATTTTATTTTTAGGCTATGTACACGCGCGACGGGGCCCGTAGTAGTCGTGAGTTAGAGTTAATTATTATAATTACTGTTTTATTTGATATTTCTTTCCACCAAATTAATTAAAGTGTTAATTGAGGGTTTTCTTATCTTTAGGTTATGAAACCTAAACAATAACTTCCGTAATAAGGTCTAATCCGTTCAGTAGTAGTTAGCAGCCTGTTTTATTGAAATTTAGAGTTTTGTTTAAATCTTGCACTTTTAAGTGAATCACCGTTTTGTCTGAAATGTTAGATTTTCACTTTTTTGTTTATTGAATTACAACACACGCACACACGAGAAAAGAAGCGAATTCAATCTAATTATTGTTGTTGCAACAAACGCCATGGAATTACTTTTATTCACTTTTCCAATGGATTCACTGCTTCTATTTATACATGGGAATTCCTGTGTTCACTGTCTTCAGTTTTATTGACCCATATTCGAGAATTCATCTTTTTTTACCTGGACTCTACCTCCGCTCTGTCATTTGATTTTATGTGCGTTCGTTCACATGGTGATTCACTGTCTTCTTCTTCTTGTTTATTTGTTCTTCACTTATATTGGAAATATGTGACGCCAGAACGTTTTTCCTATATATAGGATCTTTCTTGAGGCATTCCTACGCGTTGACCTGGAATGTCTCTGCGTGTGCAATTAATACTGAGTTGTCAGGCCTAATCCCTTTTGAAAGTAGAATTCGAAATAGCACGGGTGAATGCGAATCCATTTTAATGGGCAAAAAATTTAGGAGCCAAAGTGCTTGGTGAATGATGCGGTAGTTATTGATTTGAGGAGCATTTATTTGAGTCAGTGATTAAAGAATAAGGAAGTCTGATTGAGAATATGCGCTAACCAAAAAATTCGCTATCGATCGATTAAGAAACTTAAGGGGATGACTCATAATGGCCATGTCAAAGGATCTCTTGGTATTGCTGTTCCTTCATATTTGCGATTGCATTTGCGGATAAACCTATTAATCTGTTTCACTTGCCTTTTAGAGGTTAATTGAAGGGCCATTTGAATAGCCAGTTAGCGTGTCATTGATCGCACCTAGCAGGTTCTCGACACATTATAAAGTTTGGAAATCTGTTGTTCGTGGCCAACACCATAGTGAAGGTTAATTGTGGGAAAGCACACTCAGAGATTGGTGGTAGAGTAGTCATTAAATGTGTTCTCGCGTTTCATTTTCGTAGTTTTATCTTGAACATGACAACCTACTTCTATTCTCTCTCTCTTTCTGTGGGTTTCTTCGGGCTATTTCTCTAGTCTCTTTGGCTGCTGTGCTTTTTTCTACATATATTCGGAATTTTCCTGGGATTTTCGTTTATGAACTAAGTGAGTAAACACCTACCGTAGTTTCAGTGATTGATGTTCAAGGGTGTGCAATAGACTTACCTCCACGTGGTGCACCCTGGGCAACGTATACTCATACGGTAAAAAAGCTTATTAACCGGCAGTTGACCTCTGACTTCAAACTACCATGGCCGACTGCTTGCTATATTTGACCCCTTTCACAGTACATATCTTACCTTTTTCTCTACCTTTGTGTCTGTCTGCCTTTTTTACATCTGTGAATCGCTCTTCTGTACCCCTCCTTCTCTCGACTTTCTTCCGCTTTGATGAACCTTCCCTCTGTGAAGCCTGAAGTCAGCTAAATGGCTAATGATAGCTATCAAAACGCCTGCCATTTGAAATAAATAAATAAATAAATGTTCAAGGTGTATTTTTGCAGGTGTTTTTTTTATATCACAGCTTTGCCTCCTTTCTGTTCTTGTAAGAAATCCGTTTATTCTCAAAATTGGGCTGCAACTTTTGGTTATTTCAAGAGTCACTTTATTTATTTTTCTTTTATATAACATCACTTTCCGAGCAGGTGAGTGACAAGATGTGTGGGTGGAAATACAAAGACAGATTATAGCCTCTTATAGCCAATGACATCAAACGGGCGGAGAGGTGGCGGGAGG